TTTTCACAGACCAGCATGACTTTTCGACTTTCCTGAAGAAAACTGTCCGTCCACTGGAACTGGTAAAAATAAATTCAATAAATTGTTGGCATTTGTGATTTTTTATGTTTCTTTTAGTCTGAATACTAGTTTTAAAGCATACGGACTGAGACATACGTCCGGCAGAATCCGGCATTTATGAAAAAAGGACCTTTTCTGGACGTGACTTGACCCCGGTAGCTACCCCTCCCTATGTTTCATTCCTCCCCTCCGCTACACATTGCATGAGTGTGTGACATGTCTGGGAAAACGTGACCCGCTCGCGCCCGCGCCGAAGAAAGACTTTCACCCCTGGTGTTCACCCGAATCGAGTTCCCATTTAGTAAAAGCAACATGGGGTTTTTCTTGTGTTTTTGCTCCAATAGTAATTTAAAATTTTAGTTTCTCTTTGTTTACTATTGTTCCGTGATCCTTTGTTCCACGCGGATGTTATTGACAGCTTTGATCAACGAAGCGGGAAGAACGTTGGCTGGCAGCCACTGCATCCTATTTGAATTTTGAGTTGCTTTCACCCTGGAGCGCCTTCTTTGAATGTTTTGTTTTCTCTGGTCGAATGCACAGCATCAAATTATAGCCTCGTCGAGATCTTCGTGAAGCTGTTTTGGAGATGAAATTGCTATGAATTGTCTTGTGGAAACATACATCTAGCTGGTGTTGACGGTTATAATGTTGGAGCAACCGTTGAAGACGATCGCGACTTTTGGGTGAAAGAATTTATTCGATGGCTTTACGCCGCAAGTTATCGGGATCACCAGTTGAGGTATGAAATTTTTTTTTCAGTCCATTCCGCAGATAGTTTCTTTCAAAAGTGAAATATTGTAGGAGATTTGAGAGTCATACACAGTGTGTCCTGCAGCAGACTACAAAATAATTATTTTCTCCCTGAGTGTCAAATATTCACACGCTAGGACATGAACTATATAGCTTGCAGGTTCGTAAAAAATTCAAAATATTTTCCTGTCAACTCCAGCTGTTTTTTTAATTTAATGATGTTAACGCCACATAAAGTGAATTCAATTATTTATTGCGCGATGTTTTGTTAACGAAGTCTGACCTTGAGCCGGGTAAATTAATGATGCGCATGGATGAGAAAAACTAAAATTATCCAAAGAGAGCCAAATTTACTTCCGATCGTAATAGCGTGATTTTACTTCTTACTTTGAAACTAAATCGACTGCAAGGCTTAAAATAATGGTCGAATACTTTAAAATTTCTTTGTGCAAGTATTAATTTTGCGTAGAGTATTAATAATTAGTGAGTGTATTATAAAATACATGTTTCGTAGCAGATAAAACTAATCCGCCATCAAACAAACGTTATCTGTGTAGATGGACAAGTATTCTAGACTAGAAAAGCATTAAAGGGAAGTTATTCTTTAAAATAAACTAATCTTGGGCAGTATTAAATAATGGCTTTGCTTTTGAACGCAGTCTTGTAAGTAATTTTTAAGTATTATATTTGTAAGTATTACTGTATATAATAGACAATATTATCAATTTGATAATATTTGATAATACTTTTGGTGTCTGAAAAACATGACACTTCCTTAAATTAATGCACGTATCACTGTATACATGTACATTTGTATTTGCATCTCTTCTTAATTAACCCACTAATCATAGCTATAACAAAATACTCAAATCTGATTGGCTATCAACTGCCCTGATATCAGCCTTTAATAAGACAATTTATTAGGACAGTACGCGTCATGCCTAAGTAATTGCGAGCAAAAAAAAATGGAATTTCATCTGTTTTAATTTAAAAAAGAGCCTTATATTTCACAAATTTTGGGAAACTGCCCACCTACCCCTCCCCTAAGCCAACATTAATACTTACTTCTCACTTAAGGCAAAATGTTGGCTTAGGGGAGGGGTAGGTGGGCAGTTTCCCAGAAAGGTAAAATAATCCAAATTTTGTTAAAGTTATGATTAATCATTGGTAACAGAACTTCGTGTTGTCCAATTCGGACTGTAATCATACTTGTGATTAAAAAGATCGGACTACCACATCACTCGTATGATTACAGACCGAATTAAACTCCACTAAGTCCTGTTACCATTACAAACTCTCTGATTTGTATACCCTATCCTTGAGTAAACTGCTTGAAAACCACACCCTTCACAGCGGCACATACCTGTATAGCCCATATATGGCAGTACCCCCAGGGGTTTATCATCTCCCGCCCTTCAAATTAATTGCTGTTGGTTTCGAATTAGCAGAGTTTGAGTCTCAGATAAAACCGCAGTGTTCAGAGGAGATGTGTTTGTCATTAGAAACAAAGATGGGTTATTTTGATTGAGTTGCAGTTTCGTTACACATTATTAAAGCTATTTTGTTAAAGTTATGATTAATTGCAGGTAACTGAACTTTATTACTACTTTTAATACATGTGCAAAAAATCGGCACAGCACCATTCATTAATTTTCACTATGCTTGTAACAAACTTGTGGAAACTACAATTTACCAACATGTAAACACACCAGTACCACCAAAGGTTGGCACTGGTGCCCCGACTTTTTGGGGTGCTAACTACCAGTGGACCCGAGTCTCAGCAGTTCTTATCAAGGCAGGTTGCCAGAAAAGAAATGCATTTTATCAATTTTGCTGAGGTTACAATTTGTACAACCAAGATGCATGTGCAGCCTGCAAAGAAATTAGTAGTGTCCGATACCCGGGGGGTAGTGGATTTTGTTAACGGGCTAGTAAATTCTGTTTTTAACTTGCCCGATGGGCAAGTGATGTTTTTTGAGGAATTCAAAAAAACAGAAGAACTGTGAAATCAATTCTGCTAGTCAAAAAGTTTGTGGAGCTAGTTGAAATGACATCTGGGCTAGTAAATGCTAGCTTAAGCTTCAGCTTGCCCGAATGGCAAGCTGTAAAAATGATTTTCTTTGTACCCTGATGTGTTGTTTTTACAAAAATGGCGGCTGCTAGCTAATTCACCAATGAAAGTCAAAGAAGAATCATGGACTTGCAAGGTCAAACAAGGCAAAAGACCTGTCTCTAGAATTATGGGCAGATTGAAAAATGGAATTGCCTTCGCTTCGTACCTCTCTGATGGGGACATAGACTGGCCAAGCTTAGACTTGACTGTCACTGAAGCTTCCCCTTGGCTTTCGCTCGCTTCGCTCGATTTTCTCGTTCGCGCTTTCCTCGCTCGCGTGACCATCCTAAGGGACTGCTCACAGTCTAATGGGGACATCTCTGTTACGGCGGACACTGAAAATGGTCATTTTTATATTGTTATTGAAAAATTCTGAAAAATAAACAGTTACAATTAATTATAAGTTGGCAAAAGTTCTGTCACGAGTTTTCATTTATAATGGTAACACCATCAAATTTCAAATTTTTGTTAGAGTCACTCGCATGACAAAATATCTTAAGCTGCCACACATGCACCTTGGACTTGGTACTGCCTAGGCCTCTCTCTGAAGTAATAAACAGATCTAGCATGGATTCATTTGCAGCATAATTGCATATAAAGTTGCCACATTTGTCCTCTGGTATATTTTTTTCCTTTTTATCTCAAATACATGCCCTGGCAACAAGCAAGTTGAATGATCTTCCCCCATGCATGCATACAGTCTCAGTTTCTCGCATAGTTTATTACAGCTAACTGGTAACAGTCTTTTCTTTTTAATCCACCATACTTAGGTGTACAAAGCCTGGTTGAATTGCTGCTTATTGGAATATGGTGACTCAACCAAGATCAACGATCTGGCTGAGGGCTTAAAAGATGGGATTGTGCTATGCCAGCTGATAAAATTAACTACAGGAAAGGAGATTGATCAAAGTCAAATGGTATTAATTAACTTTTCATTTTGTAGTTATATTGTGCTAAATGCCTAGTTTTCAAACTTAAGTGGAAATTACAAGCGCCGTTGTTGGTACAGTGGAATCGAACCCTGTTAACACGGTCACCATATCAAATTTCCAGCTAAAAATAATTTCATGTCTTGAGTGGGTCATAAGTCACTTAGTAGAGGTGGTTACATATGGAAGTTTGACTGTAGTTATATTATACATGTATTCAAAAAAGAAAATTATAATATTTACAAATTATTTAATTAACGTGTCTCCTTGTGCATTATCACTTTTCACTGAAGTTTCGGTTTCCCCATTCAGGTTAAAGATGAACATGTCTCAGAGAGTACACACTTAGTGCAACTTGTTATAGATTACATGAAAAGTAAAGGAATTGATGTCTTGTGCCAAGCTGAAGGTAAAATTCTTATCTTTTAAGTGATTTTAATGTAATACGTTGTCCTCAGTGGATAGGCACAAAATTCTGAAGCTCTTAACTTTTTCATTTGCATTCTTACCGTAAATCCTCTATTAAGCGCCCCCGCCTCTCAAATAAGCCCCCTCCCTCTAATAAGCTTCCCCCCTTTTCAGGGGAAGAAAGTTAATAAGCCCCCATCTCTGTTAACCCCCCCCCCCTCCCCTATTTATTCTTTACTAATAAATGATAAACTGTATTAATCAACCACAACTGTAAAACTTTGTGTAGACTGGTCTGGGATGGCTTACTTACCAACTGGAAGATCGGGTTTGATTCTGATCCTTGGCTGCATGACCTAAAACTTCTTGTACTTGAGTTTTCCCACTTTGTTTTCTGGTTCTTTATGGAGAATGGCTTTTGATGAATCATCAGCGCTATGTTCTCCATGAATTGTGGGCCTTTAAGTGCACTGAGACCTCAGACAGTAGACCTACATACATGTATACTGTCTGGTAGAACATACAGTAGACAGCAGATGTGTACTCTATAACTGACTGCAGGTTAACACTGCATACTGTACCTTAGACTGCAGACCTTGATCAAAAGCTATATACAATGTAGAACTTTGACTGCAGAACTCGACTTGCAGACCTTACACTGCAGATGTCAGTCTGCAGACTACAGGCTGCAGAACTCAGTCCTCACTTGCTGCAGAACTCGACCTTCAAACCTCAGACTGCAGACCTCAGACTGTAGACTTCAGGCTGCAGACCTCAGGCTGCAGACCTCAACCTGCAGACCTCAGACTGCAGACCTCACAGTCTACAGAACTCAACCTGCAGACTGCAGACTGTGGATAGTCTTCAGACCGTAGACTTCACACTGCCAACTGGTGACTTTGTGATTGATATTTGGAGATTAAGAATCACATTTAAAATGTTAAGTAAAAGGGTGATGGTGCACAAGGGCCAAAGGTCCAATCAGCTGGAGCTTATCCCAGTTTCCTTAGCATGAAGCATGCGGTGCCTAGGAGTATTGCTACTCCCCCTGGATGGGGTGCTAGTCCATCATAGACTTACCCCCAGTAGTATGTCGCCGGTTAATTGGGTACCTGGAAAATACACTGGGTGAAGGGAGACATAGTGGAGTAGAGTCCATTGTGTAAGGGAACAATGTTAGAAAAAAATGTTCAGTGCAAAATTAATGTCAATAAGTACCAAGTGACCATGTTTTCTGTTCTTGCATGCTAGTGGAGCCACATATATAGCAAAGAATTTAATTTTGGTTATCCATCCATCCGAGAAATTTGGGTTGTCACATGACCATAATTACAGCAATGTATGTCCTTCTGTCTGTCCACCTGACTGTTGACATCCTCACAGACACCACAGGGTAACCATTTTGAATTCTTGCTTTTTTGAGCTAGTGTGGGAGCCTGCAATCTGATTTTGCACATCCATGTTGTGATCAATTGACAGCTGTCAAAACAGGGTATCTGCTGACCAGTATTGCAAAACCGTATCATGGGCTCAGGTGTCGGCCCATTGAGGCTGGGTGTTTCTTTTTTTTATTATCCGCTGACAAGTTACATTTTACTAATTTTCAAGTGATCGCAGGCTCGGGTTCTTTTCCTATTTTTTTCTTTAATTTTCATCTTTTCACTCTTTCTTTTTCTTTTTTTTTGGTCTCAGACATTTCAAGTGGGAAGCTCAAATTTATCCTGGACATCCTGTGGCTTATCATCTTACATTTTGAAATTCACAGTGCAAGTTAGTACATGTTCTACAGTGCAACCTCTATTCCGGGGACACCCTTGGGACCTAGACAAGTGCCCCCTGAATACAGGTTGGGCCGGGGTTTTTTTATTAATAATTAACCAACAAAAAAAATTATTCTGCTTAGGAAACTTATGCAGCCATTATTTCAACCAGCTAGAAAATGTACAAAAAGTCATGGTTAACTTTGTTAACTCCATGATTTTGTTTGTTGAATTCCCACAAGTGCAGTACATGGATTTATGTGAGATGGGCTTTGTATACAACACTCGTTGTGGTCAGGTACATTTTGAGAGCTAAGACACTTCCCCTAAACCCTGAATGGAGGTTAGTCCTGTTCTCCTGAATATAGACGTCCCTTCAATAGAAGTGTCCCAAAGGAGAGGATCCACAATGCCTTGCAACCTCAGTATTCCTTACATTACATACATTTTACCCCTGGCTATTTCTAAGTTGTGGTAGGCAGCAGAGTTAGTTCTGCCTGTGCACTACACATCCTTACTATACAAACCTTTGCAGATGGCGACTGAATCTGATTATTATGAATTTTACTAGTGCACTTGTACAGAGTACAGTTCTGTACTTAGTAAAGCTAAGTCTAGTAAATTTTTCGTGGTCCTTAATTCTTAGATCGTGCAGCGTATCAGAGGACAGTCAATTTAGGCAAGAGGTTCCTTTTGGAATGGTGCCTTACAGAAATTCCAAGCTCTGCGATTGACCCAAGAGGACCATTTTTGGACTTGTAAGTCGAGAGGTTTTTTACTTAGTTAAAGGAGTAGGCTGGTAGTAGGCTCGATTACCAGCCGCTTGTCGGGAAAATGAGCCCGCACTCGAGCCTATTAAAGGAGCTGCTACACGCTGTTTTGTTATTAATGCCAATAACGCGTCCTTATTAGCCATGGAACTTGAAAACATAACCTGTAATATAAATGGCAAAATCAGAACATCGTGTCAAACATTTTGTCTCCAGACCATTAATGTAATTATCAAACAATACAAAGAACAAAACTAAACTTAGAAAAAAAGTGTTAGACTAAAACCACGATCGCAATCCGTTTCAGCTAGGCCCTATCCGTACGTATCCGTTTTTTTCTCCGTTTTTAAAAATATCCGCTTCCACACGTAACGTATTCGAATCACACGAAAACGCATATTATACGTTGGAAATACGAGAGCATCACTTGCAGAACAAACGTAATTCTCGTAGTATCGCATTTTCTCAAGTAAACGCCCCTGGCGTTTAATTCAAAGTTGGTCTTGTGAACCGGGCGTTTGTTTAAATCTGCAGTTTGTTCTGGCCTCCTGCTTCTAGAGAAAACTTAGGAAATTAAGACACCATGAATCGTATTCGAAAAACTCCGTTTTCGTCCGTCCACACGTAAACGAGAAGCAGGTGTTTTCAAAACTCCTAACCCTGGAGTGCGCTTTCGGTGACCGTTTTCACCGGATACGTGTGGTTGGAAGGCCAAACCGGAGAAAAAAATCTCTGGTGCCTGCTTTGCATTTCAATGCTCTGTTATTTATACCTTCTTTGATTTGTAGTTTGGAGCAGTTACTTCTGTTTCACGCAATTTCATGACAGTTGCACGGTTCGAATTTTGATAAACGTCCTGACACAGCTCCTTTTAATGTTAATTTTTATTTGCTGTTGAAGTCTGACAGACGTTTTTTTTTTCTTGCTTGTTTTTGTTTTACATAAGTTTACGTGAGTATTTTTTAACTCTACATGCATTTGCCACTGTTAAGTTTAGTCCCGGCTTATTTTTACCACTGGCAATTGCACAATTGAAATAAATAGATAGCTTATAAAAAAAAAAATTCCTGATATTTACGGGTTTTTTCGCCCCTCTTCACGTAGAAATACAATCAAGATAGATCTAGATCAATCTATTGTGATCCCGGTTCGTGGACCGTGATTGAAGTTCGTGACTGTTCTAGTGTGCTAACAATGGAACTGTACAATGCACACTTGACAATTGACAGCAGACTTATCAAATTACTTGTGTTCGTGATTAACGGGGTTTTTTTTTTAATAAAGCGGTTTAAAAAAACCCAGAACCATCCAAACATTGCGTATTTCCCGTTCGTGTTGTATTTTCTCCGGTATTATGACAGGGAATTTTAATACATGTACATTAGTCTACCTTGTCCGCATAGCGTTTCATTTTCAGTATAAGCGCTTGATAGAGAACACAATTGCAACTGATTCTGTTTTCACATCACTACGTTGCGTGATTTTTTGTTTGACGATAGCAAATGAAGCGGAAAATCGACCAGTACCTCACTGGAAAGTAAGGCTGTCTAGTTATACAGTTTAGTTTCCTCTGCCACGTTTAAAATCAATCAGTTCTTTTGATATAGTAGGGGTAGACCGAAACAGTAATCTGTAGCTTGATAAGGTGATAAAACCGTCTCGTCATAAAACTCAGATCTCCAACAGGACTTAGCTAGGAGATGTCGCCTTTTGTACCAAAAAATGAAAAGAAAGTTAGACGGTCTGAAATTTGCTAGCCGAGAGTTT